AAGCCAGATGTGTCAGCGGGGGAAGAGCTCCGGTGTGTCCGCGCCCCCTCCGTCTGTCGGCGGAGATAGCGCCACCGAGGATGGTGGTGACAGCCCCGTCAGCGGCTCCTGGGTCTGGCTTAGCTTCGAAAAGAAGTTCAGGCGGGATGTGGCACGGTCGTTCGTCAAGGACTCGTTGGTGGTCGACCAAGGTGAGATAATGTTAAGATCACCGGCAATAGACGACTGACGCTCTTACTGCAGTGCAAATTTTACTTCGCCGTGGCGACATCACCGAGAAGGATGCCCACACATATCATATGCACTGGACTTGGGCTGACCACGCCTGGGCAAACCAATTCCGGATCGTGGGGTGGCTGGATATGATGACGGGGGCCGGCCAGTACCCGCAAAAGAATTTCACCCAAACGACGTTCTCCACCGAGCAGCTGAGGCTAATCCTCCCCCCAATGGAGAAGGTGCTCGGCTGTCCAGAGCTCCTGCAGAACGCGAAGGTGGACACCAGTAAGAGGCTACGCGTCGTTGAATGGACCGAAGGTATGCACTATCCTTTCAGCCTCCGCATTTGTTTGACGTGCTTCGTAGAAGAGAAAAATCTTCCATTGCCAGAGCAATATGACGTGCCACTGGTCACAACTGTCAATGGCAGTGTCCTCCTCAAGGTAGCCGGCTCAAGAAAGTACGTGATCGCCAGTGGGTATAAGCCGCCGGTGTCCACAGGGCCAACGCCGCCGCGGATTGCGCCGGGAGTCCCTGGGTGGTCTAAGGCAGTGCGCGCCCCGGCTGCTCGCGACAATGCTCAGGGTGATGGCGTGCGTGGTGACCGCCCATCTGTGCAAGACTACAACAACTACGGAAGCAACCATCACATCGACAAGGGGGATGCCCGTTTGCAAAGGGCACCTTCGCTCGACTACCACGACGCTAGATTGCAGCTGTTTCCTAGATTGCACAGCCCAGACGACTCCTGTGCGCCTAGTCGCCATTACCAGGATGCCGATGACTACTACCCCAATTTCCAGTACAACGGCCACTACGAGGATGCAGGACACGCCGGCGACTACTACTTGGATCCTGTGGTATCCCACCCACGTTCTCCCGGGTTTACACAATACCAAGGACACGACACATACTTTGACGCCATGGGACAAGCCAGGACCTATTTACCTACCCGCCCTCGACCAACCCCCTCGCGCGAGGACCGGCACCTGCCTCCTCCGGTGCCTATGCGTTCCCGCCCCCCTGTATCAACTCATTTGCGGCCAACTGCGCCCCCGCCGTGGAACGATTGTGCATCGTATAGCGACTCGCCGCCACCCCCGAAGAAATTGCAAACAGCGGGGCCAGAACACGGTGGTCGCAGTGGGCCTCCACTAGCATCAGGGTCGGCTTTACCGCACCCAGAGGAACAGAGACAGCTCAAGCGCAGCACGCGAGATATGCTCGCGGAGGACGAGCGTGCGTGTGACCAGCGGCTCTGCCAATTTCGCCTGGCCAGGCTCGGCATGGAGGAGATGGTGAGCCCAATCCTTCGCGGAAAGTTGGTGGACATCCCCCAAGATCAACGCTCAAGAGCAGATCAGAATACCTGGCTGTTGGACAAGAACTTCGACGAGTGGAAACGGCTGACGAGCGGCAGCGCTAGATTCGAGGCGGAAGAGCAGGGAATGTATGACAAGTGGGTTCAACGACTGGGGCTATACTAATCCTGTATTACTTTATGCTTTATGTTCTATGTTTTATGTCCATGTAGTAGACTGCGTTGAATATGCCATTAGTACTGGGATGTAGCACCCGGAGCAGGGATTACGGGCGGTGGGCGAGGTGATATGGCCACCCATAAGATCAATGTCAATGTACGTGGGTTTGCAACACATCGGCAAATATGATACTGACAATGGCCAGCCAATAGAGCGTGCAGGTCGGATTGCCGAAAGGGGGGAGACTGGTGGCCCGGCAATGACCTCTCCCGATGAGGCTAGAGGTGCGTCCCTTTGTCTAGTGTGGCTCTCGAGGAGTATTTAACCGGGTGAATATCTTGCAGAAGTGTCCACATTACCCACCACTCACCCTCCTGCTCATCATGATTCCCATCCACGTCACGGCCCCCTCATTATGCCTGCACCCCCTTCCACGCGCCCTCCCCCCTCTCTATAGCGCCAATATCGAGCAACACAGCTTATCAAAATGGCGGTTTGAGCCAGGATCCAATTTCTGCTGAGAGTAACCCGAGTTGGATTTTTTATCTGAGTGCCATCAGAAATGTATGTGAGTCCAGGGAACACATCCCGCCCACTCGTGGAACCATGTATGCCCCTGTTACGCTCTCAGGACAAAATCCACCCAGGAAATCACTCAGAATCAGCCATCCTGGCTCGAACCGCCATTTTGATGTTTTAAACAGTTTTTAACCTGAGAGCATAACGAGGGTGTGCAGAGTTCTGTGTATGGGCAGGATGTGCTCCCTGGACTCAAATGCATTTCCTATGGCACTCAGATACAAAATCCAACTCAGATTGCTCCCAGCCGAAATTGAATACCGGCTCGAACCACCATTTTGGGCCATTTCACGGCTGGATTTTCTCCTGAGAGCGTAACGGGGGCATGCAGGGTTCTGCAAGTGGCCGTGATGTGCTCCCCCAACTCAACTGCATTCCCCATGGCACCCAGGTACAAAATCCAATTTGGATTGCTCACAGCGAAAATTGGATACTGGCTCTACCAGCCATTTTGGTGTTTTAAACAGACTTTCTCCTGAGAGTGTGACGTGAGCATGCAGGGTTCCGCGAGTGGGCGGGATGTGTTTCCTGGACTCAAATGCATTCCTGATGGCACTCAGATACAAAATTCAACTCTGATTGCTCCCAGCGGAAATTGAATACTGGCACAACCTGCCATAACACATTTCAAATTCAGAGTGTTCTAGCAGTTGGCATGGATGTGTAAGTAGGTGGCATGGATTCCCTGAACCTAACTTCGTTGGAAATCAACCTCACAGCCAACATATACCCTAGCTTGCTTGCAGCAGAAATTGAATACTCACTGAAACAGCCATTTGGCATATTTCCTGGATGGATTCCAAATTCAGAATGGTCTAGTGGGTGGCATGGGTCTGTAAGTAGGTGACATGCATTCCCTGGATCTATGCTCATCAGAAATCACCCTCACAGCCAACATATACCCTGGATTGCTTGCGGCGGAAATTAAATACTTGCTGGAACACCTATTTTCTGTAAGTATTTGAATTTGGAGTGTTGCAGTGGGTGGCATGGATCCGCCAGTAGGTGGCATGCATTCCCTAGACACAAATGCATCACAAATCACACTCACAGCCAACATCTACCCTGGATTGCTTGCAGCGAGAATTGAATACTTGCTGAAACAGCCATTTGGCATGTTTCCTGGACAGATTTCAAATTCACAGTATTGTAGTAGTGGATGGCATGTGGAAAAGTTGTAAACCTTCAGCTGAAAAGGATTCTCCACTTCCCGCAAAAAAAATTGGAAACACCGCACCTCACCTGTATAACTTGAAACATATTTGAACCAACTTGATTCAAGTTTTGCACCTAATTTTTCCCCACGCAAATGGTGTACAAACTTATCAGTTGGAAATGTGAAAATAAATCACTGGCAAAAATGTTGAGAAACTTGTACCCTGCATTTTAAGTTTTTCATCACTTTTCATCACATCTTTTTTCACATGTTTGATTGTCTCTTTATCAGTGCAAAATGTGGTGAAATTTTTGAAGAAGGAAGTTTCAAGTTTTTCACCTTGGGTTTCACCAAAAATATGTATGAATTAGTAGGTGAAAGTCTTTCAAAAGAAAGCACCAAGTTTGTTTCACATTTTTTCCAAGTGAAAAAGTGCTGAAAACCTTTTAAGTTTTCCACTTACTTTTGGGCAAAAAAACTTGCAAGAGATTCAGAACATTTCTCACCAAATTTCTTGCTGATAAAATTAAATTGTTCAACCAGTAAAATTGTGTAATAAATCGCTGGCAAAAATGTTGAGAAACTTGTAATCTGCTTTTCAAGTTTTTCATCACTTTTCATTTCATCTTTTTCACACACTTAGATTGTCTCTTTATCAGTGCAAAATGTGGTGAACTTTTTGAAGAAGGAAGTTTCAAGTTTTTCAGCTTGGGTTTCGCCCAAAAATATGTATGAATTGTAGGTGAAAATCTTTCAAAAGAAAGCATCAAGTTTGTTTCATATTTTTCATCGTCTTTCCAAGTGAAAAAAGTGCTGAAAAAGTTTTAAGTTTTTCACCTACTTTTTTGCCGAGAATTCACTGGTTGAACATTTCAAGTTTTTCGGTGAAAAAACTAGTGAAAAATGTTTTTAATTTTACAGCAATTTTTCAGTGAAAAACCAAGTGAAAAACTTGAAACTTTGTCATGATTTTCTTGAACTTCAAAAGTTTTTCAGTACTTTTTCAAAAGTTTGTCACAAGGTTCAAAAAAATCACAAAAAAAATTCAAGTTTTTCACCTACTTTTCGGGCGAAAAATTGTTGTAAAATTCAAAACATTTTTCACCAAAATTTTCAGCAAAAAACTTGAAATATTCAACCAGTGTTCGAAAACTCCTGAAAAATTTAAAACATCTTCACCAGATTTCTCACTGAAAAACTTCCAAAGAAAACACCAGTTTTGTTTCACATTTTTCACCTTCTTTCCGAGTGAAAAAAGTGCTGAGAACCTTTTGAGTTTTTCACCTACTTTCGGCAAAAAACTTCTGAAAAATTTAAAACATTTTTCACCAAATTTCTCACTGATAAACTTGAATTGTTCAACCAGTGCTGTATTTAAAATGAGTCAAGATAGAAGAGTGACTCGGAGACTGAGGGAGGTAAGCAAAGGGTCAGCAACCAACACGCAAACGATAAAAAAAGACGACCCTGCACCACTAGGTAATTATTACTCTTCTTCCAGTGCAGCTAAGATGGGCAAATTTCGCCATAGAGTAGATGAAATAAAAAATATTGTGTTGAATGAATGGCCTGGGCATGGTTCGAACACGCGCCTGTACAAGAAACAATTCTGGTACTCCAATTATTTAGCACTGCTCTTCCAACTGAGCTACCAGGCCGTTGATGAGGATGCCACGGTGGGTATACAGCTCGCATGGACTGTCCCGATATGGTAAGTCAAACAAAGGTAAGTATTTGTACAACAAAGTGTATCTAATTAAGTGTAAAATCAAATCTATTGAGTTGAAGTTGAGTGGATAAGAAAAAAAAGTGGGCCTTTAAGACATCGTGACAATGGAAATTCCTGGCCGTTGGGAGCCGTAGAATAAATGAAATAAAAAATATTCTGTTGGAATGAAATGGTCTGGGCGTGGTTCGAACACACGCCTGTGCGTGAAATGATTGTGCCATTCGAATTATCTGGCACGGCTCTTCCAACTGAGCCACCAGACCATTACTAGCAGTGCCACAGTGGGATATAGAGCTTGTATTGGCTGTCCCAATATGGTAAGTCGAACAAACATATTTGTGCAGCAAAGTGTATCTAATTAAGTGCAAAAAATCTATTGAGTTGAAATTGACAAGAAAAAAGGAAACCTTCAAGACATCGGGGTGTGGACCAAATAAGGGACAACAACCGCTACGGTCCCAATATGGGAATTCCTGGCCGTTGGGAGCCCCCAGTGGTGGGAGCTCCCTGGGACTCCCAGGCCCTCCCATGGGTGCCTGAAATGGCTCCCGCTGAGGCCAAATATCATACATCTAGCCATATGGGAGCACCCAGGAAGGCGACCGGGAGTAACCTGGCCAATGCAGAGGATGCTCCCAGGCCATCAATGGGAAGCATTGGGAGGTCTTCCAGGGGCTAGTGGGAGGCTCCCAAAGGGTCCATGGAAGCCTTAGAGGACTGGTGGGAGGCCTCCGACCAGCTGCGGGGGAGGTAGGGGAGGGATGTGGGAGCCCCATTGGGTTTGAATGAGAGGATTGTGAGGTCTGCCAGGGAGTTTATGGGAGGGTCCTGGGAGTCTGCCGGAACTTGTCTGGGAGATTATGAGGTCTTCCAGGGACTCTGTGGGAGGGTCCTGGGAGTCTGTCGGGGCTTGGTCTGGGAGACATTGGCAGAGGCTTCGTGAGACAGTGGGAGGCCCACGGGAGCCTCCCAAGCAACATGGCAGAGACAATTGGAAGTACTGTCGGGCCAGAGAAAATGTAAGGGCAAGTGAAATTAGCATACAACGAGAGCTGATTTTATGAGTTGTGCAGCATATCCATTGGATTGGGATGTATATATATAGCCAGAGATAAGGTTTAAAATAGACCTTACTTGCTTGAGTGGATGGTATGAGCGACTTTTTGAACTCAATAGATATACTGTACCAATATGTGCACAAAAAATAAAAATAAATGGTATGAGTGACTTTTTGAACTCAACAGATATACCATACCATTATATGAACAAACAGAAAAAATAGAAAATAATAATAAAAACCTTGGTTCCTTGGGTGGATGGTTTGAGTGACTGTCGAAAGGAACTAGTGAAAAGACAGATGTTTCAGACATTTTTCAAAGAATGCTGACCTTATGTATCTAGCAGTCAACCCACGGAACAAGGGATGCACGACCTGCCCGATGGGTGCCTGAACGGCCCTGGGAAAGTGCTTTTCGGGGGGAAATTTGCCAAAAAAATCTGCCACGGTATGCACGACATATATATATTACTCCCGCCATGTAACTGATGATGTATGATCAACCATGAGCAAGCCAAACAGTACCTGAGTGGCCCCAGAAAAGCACTTTTTGGGCCAGAAATTCACCAAAAAAATCTACCACGCTACGTGCGGCATATGTATAGTACTCAAGCCATGGCCCGGGGGATTCAGAATCACCCATTAGCACCCCAAACAGTGCCCCAAAGGGCCAGCAAAAGCGCTTTTCAGGGCAGAAATCTGCGAAAAAAATCTGCCGCGCTACGCGCACCATGTATGTAGCACTCAAGCCATGCATCAGGGCATTCAGAATCACCCATGAGCACCCCAAGTGGTGCCCCAAAGGGCCAGCAAAAGCGCTTTTCAGGGCGGAAATCTGCGAAAAAAATCTGCCGCGCTACGCACGGCATATATAGATTACTCAACCCATGGACCGGGGGATTCAGAATCCCCCAGGAGCAGCCCAAACCATGCCCAAACGGCCCCAGAAAAGCGCTTTTCGCCCCAGCAGTGGCTGGGGTCTTGGATGATGGCAAGTGATGCCATGGAAGCTCCCAGCACATGGGAGCCTCCACGCAAATGGTGGAAGGTTCCACCCATACCTAGGAGGAAGCTCCCAGCAGTGGGAGCCCACCACCTAAAACACCCACTTAGGATAGTCATAGAACAAGGAATAATCACCCTATTAGGGTACCTTATATGTCTGCCTGTAGTGGTTAATCGTCGCCATGACTAGTCCTCCTCAAAAGTGTTCTTACCAAGTCAACATTCACCGCGGATGGATTGAGAAGGTCAGTCGACGCCAGGATCTTCCCGATTCGAACACAGTAAAAAGGAAACTTACCCAGTTGTTTACATGGGTACCTCGAATCGGAGAAGTCAGTTACAGCAGAATCCCCGGTTCAGGCTCAAACGATATTCCATCTTGTGAGTCATCTCTCGAATTCGCACGGTCCTCGATGGATAGCAAAGAGATCATAGACAACCTCAGCCATTCCACCATCAATGACACTCAAGCATCGTCCCAAAGTTCGTAGTACACAAACAAGAAACTTAAGTCGACTAATCATGTTATAGACATGTGCGAGCAGTCTAGTGCATCTGACAGCACCATCTTCACACCCGAATCCAGCTCTGGGCAGATCCAGCCCAAACAGGATGAATCATCTGCTGAACGCGAGACCAAAGATTTCCCTTTCAAAGGCGATTCCATCCTATCCTCCATGACGTCGCTCATCTGGACATACCATCATCCCAACCCACGCCTGTATTATGCATCCATCACCCATAACTTCAAGCAGACCTCGTTCATAAACATTCTGGAATACAATTATGCTTGCCAACTGCGCCCCACCCGTTTTCACTGCCTTAGCGGCGAAATCCACAATGAACATGTTATGCTTGAAATAGTGAAGGACGAACGGGGTTTCCTGCTCTACCAGATCATTAGCAATCCAGAATTTGTGTTGGCCGAAACAACCATGTTGGTATGCCAGGGCGCCACGAGTGGGACATGGGAGGTTGCCAATTTGCATGAAATCTGTGGCGGATTCATGTACATGTGCTGCCTTAACCCCGATAAACGACAGGTGACGCTTATACACATTCTTCGCCAATACTATCAGGTAGAAGAATCGGGAGGGATGTCACTGGTCCAAGCCATCTGTGGAGGAGCGCATAAAGGAAAATGAATAATAGGAACATACGTCTAGTGCATTGTTTGTACAAAAATTGTGTGCAACGAAAAATTTCATCGTGCTTGTCTTTATACAACTGAGGACAGTTGAATTTTTCGTTTGCCGTGGATGTCGAGACATAATTTTGTTTGCCTATAATAAATACAAGGCAGATGAAATATATCGGGACACAATTTTTGAGAAAAGACATGTAGATGCGATGGGTCACATGAACAAGGCCACGTGACCAGGCCGGTCATGTGGCAAAAGTCTCGCGTTAAAGAAATAATCCCAAGGCTGAGTAACACTGAATAAGGATGAGTAACACTGAATAAGACTTAGTAAAGCTGACGAACAATGAATAATCGAAACTCTGAGAGCAAGCCAGAGACATCAGTCATCAATTTATCAGTATCCATCAGCTGAAAGAACATTCATAAAGGAAATTAGTTCCCACGAGTACAGTATATAAGAAGGACGGAAAGAGTACATACATACCTACTTTCCTACCTACCTCCCTACCTACCACCTTGTAATTAGTAGAATATTAAGCTCAAACTTTATTTTCTACGAATACTTGAATTCGCAAGTTTCTTTAAGTTCCTTTTCAGCCCAGCCGCCCTCCGATCTTTTTGATCAGCTCCGACTGTTTTGACAGCAGCAACAGAACTCACGCAGACTCTCAGCATGCAATTGCAGAAACTTGTTAGTCAAGCCCCGCCTATCTAAGCGCGCCACGGTTGATAACTAGTTTATCCATCAGTTTCCGTACAGACACAGAACCGCAAGAACTATCTAGTTTTTCAATAAATCTAACTACACCCATTTGATTGAACTAGCGTGGGTTTACTCGAATAAAGTCATTTCCAGTAGCTTACATAGGAAACTTATTTTCCGCTCGACACCGGAAAGGCCTTCCGGTTTAAACGCTCGCACGGTAGTGCCCATGTGATGTGACTTGCCGTGTCACCCTCTTGGGGGGGAATTCCGCATCGCCACCTGTCGCCCGGACCGGACCCGCATTTCCTCTAAATATCTTGGTAGTAGGCAACACAGCATATATGAGGGCTTGAGATGGCTTATAACCACCCCCCCTCGAGGTCATAACTCATCACAAGCCACTACAAGCCGGTAAGCCTGCTCAAGCCGTTACAGCCCAAACAGGGTTTTTCCGACATAGGAGGTCCACACAGGCCCATAGACCATGGTACATCAAAAAGATGTGAGAAAATCACCTGAAATTGGCGAGTTTTAGGCCGATTGTGGCGGACCACGCTTGCGGCGATCATCAGTCCTTGCACCATGCACAAACAAGTGCACAAACAGTTTGAGTTTGAAAAACTTTGTCATGGTCTGGTTCCCCCATCTGCTTTCCAGCATTCCGCAGTTCAGATTTCGCAACACGAGGCATGAGAGGAGGGGTGTAATTTTTTTTGTTTGTGTATGTGTTGCCTCCCATGAATTGATCCACCGTTCCAGCGTAATTGCTCGGCCGCTGTACTCTCGATGTACTAGATATTTTAGTACATCACATTCGCTATGCGGACAGGCCTCCTGCATTTTTTCCTGGCTGAAAAACACATTATTCTTCAAGCATGGTTGCAAACTATCTGCGGCAGGACATAAATTGCTGGAATTGGACAGAGTTGTGGAGCTATATGTTTCAAAGAAAATACACCCATGCACATTCGGTCAGGGTCTACAAGTCCACCAGCAACAGCTATGCAAAAATCTTAGTGGATGGCTTGCAAAAGAAAAGTAGTGCAAGGACCATAGAAATACTGTATGGAGAATTTCATCCAAGGCGGACGCGGCATTGGGAAGGTATCAGTGTTGGGAGGTGGTGGCATCCAGAAGCGGGCGAGTCACGGGTCACAATGGTGACACATTGTAACAAGATGTGACATTTGTTACCCCAGTCTTCAAGTCTACCGAATCTATTGTATTCAAGAAGTCTACCAGCTATACCCTAAGTCTACTAAATCTACTCTAGAGTCTACCTAGGTCTATACAGTCTACCCAATCTATCATACACTTCTGTAGACATCTGGATTCACGGTTGTTCTCGACT